ACGGGTCCTCTGGCTGGTGCACAAGAAGCCGTTCTCCCACCTCCCACAGGTCCTCTGGCTGGTAGACACCTGTTCCGAGTGATTTCCTTCGCCACAGCTTTCCACAATCTAATTCGAGACCAAAAATCGCCCGAAAGAGGTCCTCCGCGTACGCCCCCAGAATGTCTAACGTTGCTTTCGGAACCCGTAAAATAAGTCTGTGAAGCAGCGTCGAGCACGCCCTTTCTTCCGCTTTCGACCCTTCAGCCACGCTTCAAGCCGCCTGCTGTCACGGAAGCATGCCCTCGGTTGCCTCCTCTGGCGCGCGCCCCCTTCAACCGGCGGGGTCGGCGGATATATATATTTATATATATTTATTGTCTCGAACACTGCATTTGAAGCCTTTGTTGAGAACTTCCGGTACAACAGGAAGGAGCGACAAAGCTGATGGCCCTGTTCTCGGCTTTGCAGTGTCACCTGTGCTTGCAAGTCACGAGCTATGAGCTTCAGTGAGCTACAGGAAGATGTCCAGAAACATCAGAAAAATTACAACATGATTCTTCAGAGAGGCAGGGGAAAGTATGGGAAAGTCACCTGCAGGCAGAGCTAGTTGCCATAGCCATTGCAATGTGTACCATCTCAGCTTGGTCTACTGGGTGAAAACACACATCTATCCCTTAGGCCCTCAAGCTCCTCATTGAAGCCAATGTTTGCAGAGGGCTCCAGCACTGGACGTGTTTGGCAGGTCTTCAGGGCAAAGGTCACCTGGACCTCAAAGATGAAGCACAGCCCCTAGCCGCCCCAGCACGAGCAGTTGGGGACTTTGACACCCGAAGCAGAACAGTGTGCAGGCGACTCCCAGGCTTTGACTCATTCCGCCGATCAGAATCAAGTTGGCGACTCCTAGGATTTGATTGGCCTCAGTGATGAAATGAAATCGGCCACCTCCTCAGCTTGAGAGCAGAGATGTGCAGAACATACCATTAAACCTCTAAGGTCACCATGGTGCTAAGTAGACTCGTTTTCATTCCACTATTTTTGCATTCTTGCGAAGCCTCTTTCAGATATATCATATATCATCATATATCCACAGTTGAGAAATCCTCAGCCCAACACCCCCTGGAGCCCAAACTCACTTGGGACGAGTCACCTGGGAGAAATCCTCAGGTTTGGGCGAGTCACCTGGGTTCTGCCGCTGCCGGCGCCTCGAGACGACCGCTCCACCGTTGCGCGACGGACTTCGCGTGGACCGGTTGTCTCGAGAGTTGAGGTTTGGCGCTCCAAGTATCGAGTTCCCATCGGCCCGCACCTGAGCGACTCCAGCGACTGACTCGAGTCGACTGTACTGTCTGTCATGTCGAGTGTCGAGTCGCCTTGGCTTCTGCGGTGGCCGAAAGAGAGGAGGGTCCCCTGTTTGCATGGTTTTTTTCGGAGACGGACGACATCGACGGCGAGGTGTTTTCTTTTTTCGGTCGACTCGGCAGACTTGCTGTGCCAAAGATGGTCGGTGGTCGCCTGCACCATCTGTGGCAGCTTTCGGCTTCATGAGTGGAGAGCTTGGGCAGCTTTGCGCCTCTAGGTGGGGTGAGACATAGTACACAGACATGTCTGACATGTCTGTCATCCATTTCAAAAGGGAGTTGATCGCTTGGCTTGGTCAATCTCATGTCATTCGGGGAGGCATCCAGACCGAGAGCAAGAGAAGGAGATGAACACACATGCAAAACCAATCCCAAACACATACGCATGGAGCATCTCGTGGCCCTCTGACAACCTTTTGCGCTCCACTCCCCCAATGGGAGCACCGCGTGAGCTCAGAGCTCACGGTATGTGACGATGGGCCCCTTGAGTCGAAAAAGAAACATCACACCTCACTCGAGCAAACATCGCACGGTTCGGTTTGGAGGTTCAAACACATCGGTTCCGCACCGGCCATGTCCACTTCGGAGTCGGGATCGATCTTTGAGCACAAGGACTGCGATTCTTTGAGGCAGTTCTTTGAGGGAGTCATCACTTGAGACTTTTTGGTCACTGATTTGACTTTTTTGTTTTGTTGCTTCTGCCTTCAGGCGGCCCAAGTAACTATATAATATTATATATCAACTCTGCTCCTGTCAGGAGCAACCAACCTTGGCTTTGGAGGCTGGATCGCGTCCAGAATGGACCATGCTCCTGCCTTACTGTATGGGGAATGTGACATGCTGTTAGCCACAGGCTCCGACGAAGGCCGCTTGGCTGCAAAGAAGTGGTATGACTCCAAAGAGGGAACCACCGAACATGAAGGTAAAACCATGGTAAACCATGGTAAACCATGGGTTTCTCGGAGTCTTTTTCAATATCTTTTTCCACTTCTCGGGATGGAGGACTCTGAGTCTACCGTTCAAACAATCCGCATTGTGGAACGACCGATGTTCCGTCTCTGGGACTCCACCAAATCGGCATCCGTCGGTCTCTGTGTGCAATTGCCGCAGATGTGGACAGCTATTTTTCCAGGGCTTTGCCCTCCTATATATCAATGAAATACGTTCAAATAGCAATTGACGTTCATCATCATTGTTATATATATCGTGTCATTGGCATCATTGCTAGCATAGTTAATGCCTTGTGATGTAATATGTGCGAGGATGTCATCGAGGAAGATGACATTCAGACTGTTGTGGTGGATGGGAATCCAGCTGCTTGGCGGCTGAGTGGTGGAAGTAGATGGGACAGTTCGTGGGCAACCTTCAAAACAGGGTATGAAGAACTCAAGAGAAGACCCGCCTTCAATCTTGAGAATTCGCAAACGACCTCGTATAGGGAAGTCATGGGGCCCTCCCAAATGCCATGCCCTATGTACACTTGTTCAGTTGAAACTGACCTTACTTACTGAAAGAACACCCCCATCCCGGCTGAAGTCGAAAGTTGTCCAAAACCGTAGGAAGCGATGGACCCCTCGGATGAATGTTGTGACATGGGATTGGATATGGAATTTTGACAGCCACACATGTGGAAGCAATGGGGATGGTTTGGATGGTGTTGGATGCTTTTGGATGTCTAAATCTATAGGTGTAGTACAGGGCAGGAAGCAGCATTCTCAGGAGTTGTCAACCAGGGCATTTGGGGACACAATTTAGGCGGACTTGGCCGCAGCAATCACCAGGCGAAGTTTGCCAGTCTTTTCTGCACTTCCGATGCCTGAGTTGCTCCTTCCCCTGGCCAAGCTTAGGTTCGGATGGACAAGCTTGGCCCGTTGGTCATTAACACTGATGGGACACTTGCGCGCTTCGAGACCCAGTGACCACTTTGCCCGCTTCAACCGACTGGTCAAAGCCCGTCTGCTCATCTCGAGAGCCAACTGCTTGAGGCATCAACAACTGGCACGAGATGACCGAGTTGGAACAGCAAAAGACCTTGCGCGTCCTGGGCAGAAGGAACAAACAGAGGTCGGGGCGCCTTTTTCGATCTGAAAAGAAACGACTGCGAAGAAGGAGGTTCGGGGTTTTGAGTCTTTAGCCAACCTTGCCTTTCTTTCTTTGATATCGTTTGTGCTTTGGGTTCAATGTATAGTGCATATCTGAAGTTGCGAGTGAGTTCTTAGACCACAACCTCCTGGAGCTTTTCACAAGGTCTAGGAGTCTAGGCCTTTCGCATTTCGTGACATGATCGCATTTCAGTCAGCTCCCTGTCCAATAAACAAGACGACAAGAGCTCCATGGTTGGTTCCCTGTGCATGATTTTGGTTCCGCTGAGAATCGTTCGCATGGCGGCGCCCCGTTCGAAGGCTGGCCAAGCTTCAAGAGGAAGCAGGCTTAGCTGACACCCAGACCTGACTTCAGTGAGCCTGTGCGGCGCGCGCTGTGCGGGTGTCAGTAGAAAGACCTATAGAGAACCCGTGCATTGTACTGTACAGAATCAACGAGGAAAGGAAGCGAAAGGCAGCGAGGTGGTCCAGTTCCTCTCATGGGACCTCATTTGACTTGGAAAGGGTCATGAGTCATAGCCCTACTCAATGAGGCAAAGGACCAGGTTTTACTGGGTCAGACTGGACCTGTATGATTTGGATTAGGACCTGTGAGACGCTCCCAGTCATGGGTCGAACAGCGGACCGACCCAATGAGTCCTGCGTGCGGACCACATTTGGTGTTCGGCTTCGTTTTCACCAGACGAACACCGATCTCCAACCATTCCATCACATTCCCCCCCAAAAAAACCTTCTGGCCTTCACTCACACAAGCGACACCTCCTCTCTCCCGAAGGAGTGTCGATCTCCAGCGTCAGACCGAACGACGAAGGCCTCGACGCCATCGAGAAGATCGGCTCCTTTTGCCAAAACGCCACGACGCGGCGCCGGATCTTCGAGGCACCGGGGAGCCCGTGAAACGGACGGGTGGAAGGACAGCACTCTTGAAGGATGAGTGGAGAACACAGAAGAGCTCCAAGGCTTCAACCCAAACATGAAAAGCATTGAAACACCTCAAATAAATGTAGCATCTTATAAATACATGATTGTGTATAATAGTATACAAACACATATATATATATACACACATGTATTATTATTGAATTAGTTTGTAAAGCAACCTTGGCCCACTGGTGGACAGCAAGTGCCACATCCACGCCTGCCATGTGATCGGTTCATCCGATGTGATCCTGGCGATCGCATCCAATGAGGCCTTCTATGGCGGCTTTGACTCATCCTTGGATGAGGCCAACAGAAGTGTAAATCTTTCGATGTTCCCCCACCTGCAGACTTGTGTGAGAGGAAGCGGCGACTGGTTTTGAGAAATAGACATGGGGCATCCAAATCTTTGGGAAAGCAAGGCCGGCGATCAACAAACATGGGTCATCTTGTGGATTTGGCCATCGGTTGCACAGCGGTCTTGGGCAAATATCAGACATATTCGAGAATGACATGTGTGGAATGCAAATACGTGTTGTTCAGTCCAGGCAGCTCTGGACTTGCTAAGTCCGGCTCTCAATTCTTGCGGTCGTTGATGATTTCTCAGTCTCAGAAGCCCCAGTTTTGGGTCGCATTGCATCTATTTTCTTTATTTGGTATCCATTACATTCCCAGTATCCGTAAACATCATTTCAAGCCTTCTGAATTCTTGGATTGCTTTCAGGACCTGACTGATAAATTTTAATAAACTTGTGTCAATGATTTGCGGTGCCACAACAGCGTGTGCTCAAGTTTCAACTGTGCATTCCGCTCAATCGCTTCAATTCAGTCAGAATCGGCATGGCATATCAGTACACCGCCGAACCTGTTGGCATGCCGGGAGCCTACACTGGTGTTCCGTACACAACCGGAACATTCGGTGGCTACTCCGGCTACTCCATGCCAATGGCTGTTAGTGGCTTGGACCATTCACAAGGCAAGTGGTTTGCTCCTGGTGAGG